ATAAATACATGCACACGCATGCACACAAACACATATATGCCTCCTTTGTAGTCTGTTAACCACTAGGACATTTCGTTTAACATACATGTTCAAAGGGAGGAAGAGGGAAGAAGAGAGAGGAGAGAAGAGGAACAAATTTAAAATGATAGCCAAAACTTTTAAAAGAGATCTTTGGTCACCTTTGGAGGATTTTAGGGAATGAACTCAATCTGAAAATCAGTAAATAAGGTAAATACAGCATTTGTTCTGCTTTCCTATATACTGTACTGCGTAATAAAAGACTTAATAACAGAAAGTTCCTCTTTATAGAAGTCCAAGTAATAAATAAGGAATGATAAAATTCAAAAAACACTATCTTGCAACCCCTAATAAAGTAACGGATCTAAGCAGTAATCATGAGTGGCTGCTAAAACCATTAGGTAAAAGGTTGTCAGGGAACTTTACACTAGGCAGTTTAGTGACAATATTCAGTGGACAATATATAAACCCAGGGATCAATCTTAACACTACTGAGAGAGACAATGAGGCATTATGTGCCTCGTGATATAATGCAAAAAGATGCACAATTTTTTATATTCTTTCAAAAAAATTTAAACCCAACTCTGAACAAACCTCTGGATTTAACTACCAACTCATAAGAAATAAAGGGGACAGAGTAACATGTTAAATGATACCACAGAGATGCAGTAAGCAAAATTCAAAATATGAAAAATTCTGCAGGACAGCCAGTATATTCGAGAAATAAATTATAAGGGAGGAAGGAAAAAAAGGACAGGGAAAGGTAAGTACAGATTAAAAGTGACTTAAGGAACATACCAATAAAATACAATATATGGACCTTGATTAGATATTGATTCACGCAAATCAACTGTACAAAAAAAAATGCTTTATGAGATGATACAGTCTACTACACACCTAGATTATATGGTACAGTCAATTGTTCCTAGGCTAAAACCTGTATAGCATGTTACTACTCTACAGAATACTCTACTCAACTATAAGACAATGGTAAGTCATTGTGCATTCAAATCTACCTAAACACAGAAAAGGCACAGTATTACAGTATTATACTACACAGTATTATAATCTTATGGGACCACCATCATATATGCAGTCTGTCTATGACCAGAACATAATTTTTGGCACTCTGTATTCTAGGTTTACATGTATTTTTAAATGCCCATTAAAAGTTTGGGAAAGAGGCGGGCACAGTAGCTCAAGTCTGTAATCCCAGCACTTTAGGAGGCCAACGCAGGTGGTCACTTGAGATCAGGAGTTCAAGACCAGCCTGGCCAACGTGGTGAAAGCCCATCTCCACTAAAAATACAAAAATTAGCCAGGTGTGGTAGTGCACACCTATAATCCCAGCTACTCAGGAGCTGGGCAGGAAAATCACTTGATCCCAGGAGGTGAAAGCTGCAGTGAGTCCACATCGTGCCACTGCACTCCAGCCCAGGTGACAAAGTGAGTAAGACTCCATTTCAAAACAAAAAGTTTGGGAAAAGAACTGTCCGTTGTAGACATATTAACTCCTGAGGCAGTCTTATTTAACATACTGACTGAGCCCCACCAACACATAAGGCACCATTCCAGGTGCTAGAGACATAATACATTAAGGAGAGACAAGACTTTTAAAATTCCTACAACATAGCAACTGACAAATGACAGTGAATTATTACATAACTGCTAATACAGAAGAAGTAATTAGAAATACGTAAATCCAGAAATTAGCTAATAATAGTTGACAAATATGAACATAAACAGCAAGCAAATTATGTATTTAATGGGTTTTTCTGGATGGGGTTTTTGTTTTTTGGTTTTGTTTTTTATTTTTAGGTAGTCATCTCTCATTCTTTCCTCTTCTAATCCATGGCTTTCCAATATTACCAAAGGGGTAAGTCAAAGTAAAAATATTATCTACTTGCTTCCCCCTTTCCACACAAACGCTGATTTTGTGTTGCTTGGCAATATTTGGTTTCCTTTTGTTTCAAGAAAGCTTAAAATCCAAATTGTTACAAATACATTTGGCCATTCCCCTCTTTTTTATTTAACTTTCTACTATACCATAATAACATGCAGCATTTGAGTAAAGTTAAAAAAAAATCTGAACAAAGCAAGAAAAAAATTAAAAGCAACAGCTTAAGAACTTTTCAAGCACCCATGGATATTTAGAAAAAAATGGCCCTCTATAAAAACATAAGTAATGATAAGCCACGCAATTTAAAACTGATATACCCCAATAAATATTGTTCATTTCCTACAATTAGAAACTAAGTGACAAGAAATTATAGACTTCTTTTAATACTTAGTTTAAAATCCCACATTGAATATAAATATCAATACCTACTTATACACATACATGTATAAGCAATGACTTAAAACATTTCAAATACAACTATATGTATAGTTGTCCTTTATTACTTTTTGCAAATTTATATTTTTAAAGGCTCTTTTAAACTGTTAAAACACTAAAATTCTCAACTAATATTTTCTAATAACTGAGCACTGAATAGGTAACACAAAAAGTACCTATGATAGGTGTGTTGTATAGAAACATTTACAAATATTACTTGTAAGATAAGCTATTCCACTTCAAGAAAAAAGAAGACACCAGTCACCAGTTTGTAGGTCACAAAAGAGAGGAGCAAGTAACATTTCAGGATTAGACCAAAAAAAAAAAATAGAAATATAATTTTGATCACATCACCTTGTTCCCCATGGAGGACTTTCAAGCTTAAAACAGCATAAGGGGAAAGAAACACACAGAGCAGCTGTAAACTACTTATAAAGCTTATATTGGGAGGCAGGATTAAATATACAGTATCTTGTTGGAGGATAACTATGTCAGGGGTTATTCTATTCAATGTATTCTCTTCTGATCTGGGGAACATTTACCACAGGTTGAGTAGTACTAACACAAAAATTCAAAATCCAAAATGCTCCAAAATCTGAAACTTTTTGAGCAACATGATGCACAAAGGAAATGCTCACTGGAACATCTTGAATTCTGAATAAGGGATGCTGAACCAGTAAGCATAATCCAAACCATCCAAAACCCCAAACACTTCTGGTCCCATGCATTTCAGATAAGCGATACTCAACCTGTAGCCATTTAAAAGAAAAAGCTGCTGAAATATTTAATACCAGGTGCTTATAAACAAAAAAAAAAAATTACTGAGACCCAAACATGAAGAAGCACATAGCCTTAAGTAAGAAAAGGGACCAGAATTCTGTTCCCCTGATTTCTAGCCCTGCATTCTTCT